TTTTAATTTAATTTTTCTATTTTTGTTTCTATTTAAATATAAAATATAAAAAATCAAAATCAGTTTTGATTCGAACCGAAACTGATCTGATCTGATCCGATTGGTTTATAAAATTTTAAAACCGATTCGATCCGATTTTATCGGTTTAAAAATTTTAAAAACCAAACCAATCTGAACTAAAACTGATTCGCAGATCAATTGGTTTTCGGTTTAAAACTTTGATCCCTAATAACAATATTAATAAAGATCATGTGATATGTCTTACCTTAACAAAAAAAAAGAAATAATATTTATTTACAAAAAAAAAAACAATTAATTAATTTTTTTTTATAAAAGAATTACTGTTTTTAATAATAATAATAATAATAAATATTTTGAAAAAAAATCAATTTAATAAGTTTCAATATATTTGTTATATTAAAATTTCTTTAAAAAAATAATTTTTTATAAAATAAGAAAATTGAAAAAAAAATTTTATTTATTATAACCTTTCTTTATTTTTTAATAATATAATATTTAAAATACTATTAAAATTAATTTTAAAAAAACCATTAGTATTCAGAATATATTATTGATTTAAATATTGAAAATTTAATGATTTTTAATTTTAATTAATAATATTAAATTTTATATTATTATAAAAAATTTATATATATTATAAAACAAAAAATTTTAATATGTATATATATTGTATATTATAAAAATTGCTTATAATTTCAAAAGGTTTTATTTTTTTTTATAAATTATAAAAATTGTTTATAATTTCAAAAAGTTTTATTTTTTTTTATAAATAATATAATTTTTGTATTTGATTTAAATTATAAATATATATTGTGAAAATAATAATATTTCTTATATATGAATACAATAAGTTAAATATTAGCTTATCTATAATTTATATCTTAAAAAATTTTAAAATAATGTATTTTATTATATAATATCAAACAACTATAAATAACTATTTGAATTTGAGAATAAAATAAAAAATTAGAATATACTGTATATTTGAAACAACTATAATTATATAAAAGATAAATTGATAGAAATTGATTTTATAACTTGTTAATTGATATAATTTGAAACAAAGCATGATAATTTCATGGTTTATTTTAAGGTTTCTATTTAAATTGATTTATATATTTTTGCCATTATTATTTTTTTAAATATATTAAATAATAGATCAAAATAATTAAAAGAATTAGATGTATATAGTTAATTAAATAATTTCGAATGTGATCATTTAACAATGCCATTTTTGCAAGTAAAAGCGATGCAGACTTTATTAAACATAAAGATTCATTTTTTTGCTTACCGAAAGTGTTACTTTCACGTTCTTGTGAGGATAATACATATTTTTGCAGTTAAAGGGAAATTTATCCAAAAATGGAGACAATGACTGTAACGTCACCACGTGACGAGTCAATGATACGTGGTTAAATTTGACATGATCTTCTAATTCCGTATTCTAATTTTAAAGGTCAAATCAGAATGGAAAATAATTTATTGGAAACATTATCTCGGGATTTCGGTTCGCTCCTCCAAATTGGAGAGAAGCTTACCGATGTTTCCATCCAAGTGGGCAATTACGAAGATTCGTTCCGAGCACATTCAACAATTTTGTGGACTCGTTCACCGTATTTTCGTTCTAAAATTTCCGAAGCCAACGAGAATCCTGTAGAAGGTAGAGTTTCCATAAACATCCCTAACTTTGATCCTAAACTATTCGCCGTTATTCTCAGGTAAAATCTTTACAATTGTATGATTATAAAATTATTATTATTTGAAAATTGATTTATCATTAGTTATTCACTTGCCTTGACATACATTTTGTGATAAAAAAGATACATTTATGACGGTAGCATAGAGCTTGAAAAGTTTGAAATCCAAGATGTCTTGCAACTTATGGTAGGAGCTAACGAATTTGGTCTAGTAGATCTTACGGAACACATTCAAGAATTTTTGTTGGAACGTAAGGAACTCGTAAAGGAACATTTTTTTCTTGTCAGCAGGATTTCTAAAGACAATTTCAAAAAAATAAATGATATGTGTGATACAATTCTGGTTCAGGAAACATTCACTATTTTCAATTTACCCGAAATTCTGACGGTCACCCAGGAAGAACTACTGAACTTTTATGCAAATCTTCCGGCTACTTTTGATTCTCTGTCGGAAATCATATTATGGGATAAACTAGTTGAATGGGCAGTCAATCAATTAAAGGATGGAGTAAGGGAAGACAACAGTGAATCTAATGTGAATGCGCGACGAAATTCATCTGCTTACGACATTTCTGAAATGAATGAGGATGATTTTTATACCTTGAAGAAATTTGTGGAACCCTTTATGGACTATATTAATTTCAAGATGATTAGTAAGAATGATTTTTTGCAAAAGGTTAGGCCGTGGAGGCAAATTTTGGATGACAGTTTCTACATCCGGTTTCTAGAATATCATACGTTTAATAACATCGATGTATCATCTCCACCAGAAGAAAATTCGTCATCGGATTCTCAACATTTCATTGACCATCATCAACCTTCGCAGGATAACTCTTTGCAATATTCACCAAATGATAATTCATTTAGCCAGCCCGATGAATTCTCACAAAATAGTCACCCACATTCGCCAACACAGCAAACAGATAATCCTAATCCTTATCTATCACATATAATGAATACAATGCATGATATGCATGTTTTTCCAGAACATGATAGTAACTCAATTTTAATTGACCAAAGTCATTTTAATTTAATAACTCAATGGATCAATCACATGCACGGAAGAGGTCACGATACTACGTATAATTTCGATATATTAACCAGAGGTTCGGCGCATGGATTCACCGCCGAAGACTTTCACGAACATTGCGATAATAAAGGTGCAACAATTTCAATTTTAAAATCAAAAGACGAAAATGTTCTCGTCGGTGGTTACAATCCAAAAAATTGGATCACACCCGAAGAGGGTAAACACAAATACACTGTCACCCCACATAGTTTTATATTTTCCATAGATTTGGAAAATGAAAAGCAACCTATATTTAGTGAAGTCAAGTTAAAGCACTTTGCGATACTCAATAAGGCTGACATGGGGCCATCGTTTGGAAAATTTAGCGATTTGATGACATGCGGAAAGAAGAATTGCAAATTTGGTTGCAAGTTTAAGCAATTGTGTTATGAAAAACTTATTATGGAAGAAAAACGGTTTGTAATTCAAGAGTATGAAGTGTTTCGAGTTGTCAAGAGCAAAAATTGATGGGATTTTCCATATGATAATCGTTACGCGGGCTTTATTCAAAGAATTTTTTAATTGAGATGTACGATTTAATCTCCGCCGGATCAATATGATTATATCGCAAAAATCGTTAGTTGGATTTTTATATAAAATAAATTATGATATAAAATGTATGTAGAATACATCGTGCAGGTACTATATTAGGGATGTTGAACCTAACTAGCAGTTTAACCGGTTCCAATGTAAATGCTTATCTATTATCAATTATAAAACAATAATTTCGCGATTTAATCTTGAGAATTGGTTTGGTTGTAGTGTATCGTTATATTGTAAAACGGTTAAAAACTGATAGTTTGGGCCGAACCGGAAACGATCTAAGTTTGACCAAGTTACTTAACATCTCTGCCTACAGTATAATATTAAACAAGATTTCAATATTGAAAAATTTATTATTTGTTATTATTAAAATTGCTGCTGGAATTGAAAAAACTAGCTTGGGATTAGTTACACGTAATTGCGTCATCAATGTCGTGTCACATTAAGCAATAATAAGGAAATTTCAGGGAGAATTATGTAAGTCAAGTTTAAAAAACCTTTTCCTTCGACAAAAAACCCACTCACCTCTTCTTTTTTCTTCTTGTTAGAAAAGAAGCAAAAGAAAAAGGAACATTTTCTAATAAATTACTCGGTTCGATCTCGAAGGGCTCTACTGTGTGTATAACGTAAGATAATAAATGATATTTTTAGAATTTGTGGTTTAATAACTCTCGTGACTCTATGCTTGGTGAAATTTTTATAATGCTGGCCAATTTCCTAAAAAAAAGTTTGGGTTCGCAATTTATGCCAGCTGCGGTCCTTGTGCTACGACGTAATACCTTTATAATTCCAAATTAAGAAAAAACTTGGAAAACAATGGAAAAGCTTCCGGATGATTGTCTTTCTCAAATTTTCTTTTTCTTGCAAGATGATAAGGTTTCTTTGCACGCTTCCATCCTGGTAAACCGTCAATGGTGCAAAAATGGAATCAAGGATTTATGGAGGCAACCATTTCGACTTGTGATGGCCGACAAGAACACCGAAAAGTACAAATCGGGCAATCGCATAAGTACAGGAATGCTGATGGAAATCGTCTTGTCTTGCCTGATCGACCTCTCGAGTTATAATCCCCCGAGAAGTTATAACTTGAGGAATCCATCGAAGGCAACTCTTGGAAAAGCACATGTTTTCAATTACATTGGTTTCATTCGTAAACTTGATCTTGACGACCTGGGGCTTGCAATTGCGGAATGGACAGAATATTGTTTTTCGCCGATGTTCAATCAAAACGCGGAGTCGGTTAACCATCGGAATGCCGTCTTTTCTGCTTTGTCACCACGCAGGGTCACTAGGTTTACCTCCTATAAAGACTTGAAAGGCAATAATTCTTTCATCAAGGGAATTACCGAAAGGATTTGCAAGCTTTTGATGATGCAGATTCCTCGACTTGACTCGATTTCAATTAAGCCCGTTTGGTTTGATAGATGTGTACAACCTTCTGCTGTGATCTCTGAACATTTTCATGAAAGCTCGGCATATTCAAATATCACAAATGAATATTTGGGACTTGTCACATATCCAAATGCGAACATCTGCTTATCCAAATTAACCGAATTCTCTTGGATAGATAATTACCCTCGATCGATTCAAGTGATACAAGAACTTTCATCAGTGGCAACTAATATAAGGAAGATTTCATTTGGCATCAGTTTAAAACCTTATAAGGGAGAATCGTCAGCTTTCGAAGCCATGATATCACTGATTCAAGTTCAAAGTGCGCTGTCGGATTTCGAGTTACAGAATTTAGAAATTTCCAGTCCCCTTTTGATGGAGGCTCTTGCACGACATAAGAACGTTTTGACCAGGCTATGTTTTAAATGTGTAAATATTTCGGCATCCGAAGACATTATAGAAATGGTGCAATTCAAAAAGTTGGAGGAGCTTATAATCATAAGCAGTAAGCTTGAGAACACATATCATTGGCCAATAAGTTTGTCACATTTCCCCAATTTAATAGCCTTTCAAATTGATGATGTTTGTCCGACATCGATCGTGACCGGCATCGATGAAGACCACGGTACCTCGGGGAATCAGTTGTGCACTTTTATTTACAATCAAGTTATATACAATTCTGAATCGGCCCGGTCAATCCTCGAGGCGATCGATCATTGTACAAATTTGACTTACTTCGAATGTAATGCCGAAATTGATTCAATTAATCTGTTGAAGCAAATTTTTATGTCATCAACAAGACTTCAGACGATTATTGTCAAAAACAGACGACGTTCGTTGAACATCAATGAATTACTAAAGGTTGTACGATTGACACGTCTGAGCCATTTGGAACTGGAAGGGAGCTGGCGTTTCACGTCCGATTCATTGGAAGTATTCCTCAACAATTCAAATCCACCCCTTAAGACTCTGTCCTTACATTATTCAAGCTGCTTTGAGGATGATCATCTCGAGGTATTATTAAGAAGTTTGAGCGGAGTGTTGGAAAAGATTGATTTAAAGGGCATGATCAAGAGGTTGAGTTTTGATTCAAGGAAACGAGCTCATCAGGCTTTTAAGGAGTTTTATTATGGGAAATGAGGTAACCGGCCAAAGGTACGGGATAAATTATTTGTTTACCGGATGAAAGACGACAGATAATCATTAATTTAGAATCGAATTTTCAATCTCTTTACTTCCTTCAAAAAAAGTTCTGAACATTAATAATTACAAATGCGATTCGCTTAATAACATGCACCACAGGAAGTGGGTTATATCGATATTTCTGTAATTATTCGAACTCGCAAAAATTTTCTATTCGTATTTTACTTTCTCTTAATATTTTCCTTGCTTTTATAATTCATGCTTTACTTTCGAACTCTTTTTTTTTTTTTCCTTTGAATTTATTTTTTTTCCCAAAATAATGTAGTCAAAAGAGAAGGAATACAAAATAATTTATATGCAATTGATGACAGGAAATAAATTGATATCGTCTTGTGAATGTGAGATTCCGGGCATTCGTGATCTAAATAAAATATTACTATTACTATTTCGGCACATGCTTGAATAAGACAAACATTTACAAGAAACTTAGTTGGCGTACATCATTGTTGTGTAATTGAAGACATCCACTAACCTTCATTTCCTGTGATTTTTTAGATACTTCAGAAAATAAGCTTTTTAAATAACATTTAGATTTGAATTCAAATGACGTTCATTCCAAAATTATATTACATCGACGTCAATTGTGACACTTAAATAGTGACGAATGGTATACTGTATGTATATTATAATTATATTAAACATTTATTGCGAAATACAGTAGAATAATTGCTTTTAAAATAGAACCACGTCTAACTTCAGATGGAAGATGATTCTTTACAAAACTGATCATCCATTTCTTAACTGGATCGAGTCTTCAATTGCGATCTCATTTACAATATTTCATCAATCAATTTTGCCCGTGAATCAAGTAGATAATTAAAGAGCATCGGTCAAAATTTGGCAAAACGATCAACCACGATCTATAATTGACGAAGGCTTCATGAACCAATCGAGAAAAGGGCATACATTTAATTACTATGTCAACGGCTCTTTTAGCATGATCAAATCAATATTCTTGAAATAATGATCAAAATTTTTGTATAAAATTTTTGCATCCAATTGGTAGCCTTGTAATTTGACAGGTCTCTAAGAACTTCTAATTATTTTTCTGAAATATTTTCATGTTGTTAATATATAATTTTTGTTCAAATTATCTTGAATATGAATTCTGCCTATAATTATTTTATTACAAATGTTGTTAATTAATTATTGTACTATTTTTTTTTATTTTCTTTAAGATATATATATATATTTTTTTAATTTTTAAATTCATTTTGCTTCTTTTTTTATTTAGATATATTTTCTTTAATGTATATATTGTTTTCTTTTTTTCAATTAATATTTTTGTGAATTCTTAAACAAATTCAAGAGCCTGCATGGTTAAGATTATATTTTGATTAATCTTCCTATAGTTCTCTTATAATTTTAATCTTTTATTGAACCTCCAAATAGATCTTTTAATTTTAATCAATTATAAATTGTTTTGATAATTAAATAATAGCTATGAAAAGTATATTATTGTTTATAATTTTTTTTTAATTTATGAATAAACCATTTCTTTTTCTATTCCTAATAATATTATTATTATAACTTTTTAAAGATTTTTTATATTTATTATTACTGGTTTAATTAAAATTTAAAATTTGAATTTAAAACAAACTATTATTTTGTTATAGCTTTTAATTATTTTTATATATACTTTTGTTTTTTTTTTTTTTTCCCGTAGTCAAACAAGTACGTACTGTTTATTAAATCTATACAGAAAACAAATAATGTATAAT